TGCTGGGAGTGCCAGACTTTGCCTTGTCCTGACAATACCATTGCCTAGCTAATCATGGGAGCCAGGGATGGGCTTGCTGTGCTGATCGTCGCACGCCGGCAGAAGAGATAATGAGCTGCTGACAAGGATGCATCTGGAATCCGGCTGAGCGTTGCATTGTGTGAGATACCGTGTGCTGCTTCTTCCTTCCCAAACCTGGACAATGGATTGCTGTTCCTCAGGACAGTGTCACCTTGCTCTCTGTAGCTCACCCTGTATTTCCTTGATACAGTTTGAAAGCTTTAAGAATGACAAGTTTACACAGAGGGAAGAAAGCACATCTTGGGGAATTCAAATCCTTTGTAAACTAACCTCATTTTGTGTGCTTGCTATTAGTGATCTTGAATGGACAGTATACTTGAGAAATCAGCTTCAGAGAGTAATTTCTTTTGTGGAGAAGGTGAACCTTGGCAGCATGAAAATCAGATATTCACCTGGCTGCATGCTGCGTGGCATCACTTTGCAGCTAGTCTCCATGTTGGGCTTGCCACAATCTTCATTCTAGTAATGGGGTTGTGCTGATATTTTTAGATGGGATTGCAGGCAGCAATGTCTTAATCAAAATTTAATTCAGTGCTGTAGCAGACAAGTGTGCTACTGTGGGGTCTTGCCATGTGGCAGGATTTGACGACGGAGAGCACTGCATTTGCCCATTGCTGCTACCTTCTTCAGTATTGGGGATGGTTTAAGCGAAAAGACAGTAAGTGCTAATTATGCCTTCCTGGACATGCATACCCAACCTGCAAACCATAGGGGTTTTTTGTCTTGCTGTACTGCTCCTGAGCTGTATTGTTATGGTGGAGTTGGGGAACTTTTGTCCTAATCCCTCCTCCTCTTCAACTCCCAGTTTTGGATATGCCAGCTGGGGGAGTTACCCAGATATCTGAGTCGGTTTGTACTGACCTGTGCTTTCGTGGTTTACTTTTCAAATACTGGTTAAGCCAATGTAGTAAATCGTATTTCAGCTTTCTTGTCACGTATGAATAATTCTGTCATTAATTCCTAGTGCTTGGTCCTAGATTCTTCAGGGGAACATACCTGAGCTGTGTAGATAATACTTCCATGCAGAGGGAGAGGCGGTGCTGCCTAAGTTGTTGGCTCTTGGTACTTAACAGGTTCCACTCTGAACCCTTATTCGACTTTCAGCAAAGCATGCAAGTCTGTGCCCTTCATCCTCTCCAAGCTCGTTAATAATGTGAGCTGGACACAGGCGTGAAGGAAAAGTCCATCTCGGAACAGAGCCCTGCTGGGAAAGCCAGGCTGTGAGCAGCTCTGCATTTAACAAAGCTAATGGAAATTTCCAGGGAGGGCTTAGAGAGCTTAGTGACAGCCATAAAAAGGAAGAAAATAAGAACTTGACTAAGTGGACTTCACTGTCCATGACTGACGCAGTGTGGAGAATTGCAATTTTTCACCCTGAAGCCTTGGGCAACAAATGTCCTCCTTACCGCATCCACATCCAAGTGTCAACATGCTCCATGCTACACAGAGCTTCTACCTTATGCCTTGGAAAATGTAAAGTGCTTCCAGCATTTCCATGTCTAGAGTTTGATGGAGCAAAAGTTAAACGCTTACATTACCTGAAAAATATTCGTTTCTCCAGTGTAAGCTCTGCTTCTGTGAAATGAATAGTCAGGCCTTGATTTGCAAATCTCCTGGGAAACGTACTGTGAAAGGCTTGCTAATTTACAAAATTCAAGCAGTATTTTGCAATGGGAGTTAAAAAACCTTTAGGCTTTCTGAAACAGGAGATTACACTGTTTTAAATAGGTGTGGTTAAACCAGTGCAAATCTTTAAGCTTAATTGAAAATCTGATTTAAACCAAGGTAATTTTGTGCTTGTCACACGCATCTTGTTGTGTACTTAAGTTGGTTTAAGGTGCGATTATGTGATCAAGTTTCTAATGCAGTCATGGTCTTAAAACTGGCACTTAACAGCATTTCTTTGATGAAATCTTTGCTTATTAAGAATGGAAGTGATGGACATCTTATAAAAAATAGTGCCCAACCGGTTAAGTTCAGATATTTGCTTTCCTCACTGTACCTTGATGCAGTCTGAAACATCTCTTCTGTAGCCTCAATCAATCATCCAAATGCCGGAAGACCTAATGGGGAGCAAGATGGATGTTGGTCTTAGGGCTGTAGAGAGCCAGATGTGGGCTCCGGGTCTTGAGCGATGCAGTTGTAGGCCAAAGAGAACGAAGATCGTGCTGAGGGCTTTATCACTTGAAGTCTTTTGCAAGAGGTGGAGTTAGGAGAGGGTGAGTTGGTTGACTGACCAAGGGAAGAGTCTGCTGAAAGGTAGCAGTGAGGATGCTCGCTGCTGTGGTAGGGAGTGCCAGCTCTTTATTCTGAACCACTTTTTTGGCCCTGCAGGGAGACACACTCGTTGCAGACTAAAAAGCCAGGTTAAAGTGGTGCTGAGGATGTTGAACTCCCATCATGGCCAAGTGTAGTGACCTTGACTTAAGCCTGTTCATCAGTGTTCCCAGAGTCAGCAATGGGAAGAGTGGTACCAGCTGCTGCAGGTCCTCCTTCTGGGAAAGGAAAGCAAAGTCCTCGATTCTCTGGCAGTAAATGAGTAGCTAATAGGACCCTGGCAGGGAAACTCAGTTGATAAATGGCAGCGTTTAAAACCAATGTGCAAAGTCATGTATTAAATGGAATGGCTATTGATTTCCCTGTCCAGGGAAAGGTGCAAATTGACAGCATGGAGTTAGAACGGACTTTCCGGTCCAGCAACCACTGTACGGTAGTGAGCCTCTGCAGAATAGGTGGGAGCAGGGACAGGAGTTTGTAACCTGGTGTACTGCATGTCAGCTTGGTACCATGATACTTTTGTAGAAGTGAGATGAATCAGACTCAAAGAAGTGTGTGTGTGTGTGTGTGCAGGAGCTGAGCTTTCTGTGTAGTACAGGAACACGGTGTTTCCAGGAGGGAAGAGAGGAAACACAGTATTGCCAACTCACATTTTGGCCTAGGGAAAGCTTTGCAGTCTTCTGGTTTCTTCTCTTGGGAGCTGGCAAGCTGGCAAAGACAAGTAGCACACAGAGCACCTTGGCGAGGAATACCAGTTGTGTAGGTGGCTGTGGGGACCATGCCTGCACTTTGGAAAGCATGAAGAAGTGTGGAAGGAGGGGGAGAAGAGCATGGGTCAGTTTAGCTCTGTTGTGTAATAGCTGCAGATACCAAGCAAGCTAGACTTTTTATGGAAATTTTGACTACCAGGTCAGAAAGTCTCACTTGCCTAGGGAGTGTGCTGCTTTGCAGACAGCAAAGTGTGGCAGCTAAACCTCAGTATATCAGGCAGGGGATGGAGCAGCCAGAGGGACTGGCGTGGTTTTAGTGACAGGTTACCATCTGTCAGTAAACTCTGAAGCCTTTGTAAATCAGCATCTCCCTGGCAGCTGCTTTCATGGGGTATAATGTAACACAGGGCTAGCTCAGCACAAAAAAAAAAAGTGATGACTGATTACTTCCTGTAGACTCCTTGTGTGGTTTTGTTGACCTAATTTTCTCCAGCTTTCGCCCTTGGTCCCGCCCTGGGGTGCTGTCACCCCGGCAGCCTAGCCCCAGGCTTCCAGCACACACAGCTCTCCCATTGCAGCATGTCTGACCTGCAGCATCCTCTAAGCTGGGGCTCCTGCCAGTTCTGCTGAGGCATCTCATTACAGGGACAACAGCTTTTATATGTACATAAAACACCATGTTTGTGCCCAAGCTGTAACCAGCTACCAACTACTTGCTCTGCATCCTTCCTTCAGATTGTGGGACTAGTTCATGCTCTGAGACTGCTGCGATGTGATGCAAGTCCAGCTCTTCAGATGCAATTCCCTTGTGTCTGCAGAGGACTTTTTGGGTTTGGGGTGGGTTTTTTGTTTGTTTTATTTTTGGTTTGGTGTTTGGTTTTGTTTTTTTTTTTAACTCACCTTATGGTGACACACTGTTAACTCTCCACCTAGCGCCATCAGGTGTCTGCAGTCCAGCAGCCATGTGGTAGTACACAGCACCAGTCTGAAACGCCAAGGCCAGCTCACAGGGAGCTAATATGTCAGCATGGCGTGGCAAAACACTATACAGAAAGTCTGTTCCGTGGTAGTGCAGCCCATAGTGCTTCTGGAGCTGAGACACAGCAGTAGGTGGGAGATCTCCATACTGCCTTGGACCGCACAGTGTGTCCCTGGCCTCTGACATTTCTGTATGGCACAGAGTAAGCTGGATTTGCTCTTATCCTCTTCCAGTCTAAGAGCTGGAGAGCCTTAGAAATAGTGGGAGACGCACTTACAGAATTATGGTTATGGTGGGTTAGTTTCTGTGATTGCCCGTAGTCTTCAGCAATGATGCATTGTTAGCCTTGCCTGTTCCTGTGGAGTGATTAGTGAGCCCTGGCTTCGTGTGACTTTTTGGGAAATGCACTGTGAATGAATGCGAGAGCGTTGGCTGTTCTGTTAAACTTAGTAGCATTAGCTGTAAAATTCAAGTTTTGAACTTTTTGGACACACATGTAGTTGATCCAGTACAAAATCTTTTGTGGAAACTTATTAAAATATCTTCTACATCTGCCCTTGCTCTGCAGTGACTGTCAGTGAGAGACTGACAGCAGAGAGATTTATCCTTTCCATTCCAATTCTTTGTTTAGTCGCTTGGAGTTAGGGTAACCTGATTTTATGCACACGGTTGTATGTCTTCATTTCCTGAAAATCTCTCTGCTCCTCTTGTTGTTCCTCAGTGCTAATATTGAATTGAAATGACTGGAATATTCCAGAGCAATCTGAGTAATACAGCGCTCCATGTTTGCAAGGCTGTTTATGGTGAAGAGCCCATTTAATGAAAATGTGAACTGAGCTAGGTCTGCAGTTTCTGTAGGGTAGGAATCAACACTGCGTTGTGGGGACGTAATGTGTGCTGGCTGGAATAGTGTCCTGTCATGCTAATATTTTTTCCTTCTTTGGTGTTTCAAGGGCCTTAAACTCTGGAGTTGAGTACCACTGGGACCAGCTGAATGAGAACGTCTTCGCTGTGCATTCCAGCAGCAGGAGCACTGAGCGGCCTGGGTGAGTCTCCTGGGTGTGGGTTAGAGAGACCTGACCCTTCCTGACAGCACCACCACTTCTTTGTTCCCTTAGCACTGGCAGCTTTAAATATGCAATTTTCCCCCTCTTTGACATTGCCTAGTTGAGTCACCTGCCCTGCTTCCAGCAAGTGACATTCAGTGCCCAAAAGTGCTGCCGGTGATAGTGAAGGACACGTGTCATCCGTGGCGTCGGTATCATCCGTGAGCAAGCTGCAGGAGGAACATGTGGGGCTTAGTGCATCAAAAACACCACGCAAAGTAAATGACCTTTGGAGGATAACTGAAGAATGAGGGGTTTCACAGAGATGAGCGCAAATCCATTGGGTGGTCCTGGTGACTGCTTTTCATCCCTTTATAGTTTTTGGTCATGGGACAGTTGTTTCTCAGCAATAAACTCTAAAAATAAAACTAAGTCCCTTGACGGCACTATTTGCTGCTTCATCCAGTCTGTCCAGTGATGCACACATTAGTTATTCTAAACATGAGGGTGATGCTGCAGTCCCTTGGTTCTTTCCCCAGTGATGAGTACTTCTCCATAAGCCAGCTGTTCTCAGCAAGAGGGTGACAGTCTTGTTTCTGAATTGTGAGCTCCAGAAGCCTGATCCCAAGGAAGTTATGAGCTGGTGTACAGGGTAATGTCTATGCTGTCCTACAGCCTTGGTCTGACTGAGAGTGAAAAGTAAGCAGCGGAGATTCTTTACTCTGCCACGTGAGTGGTTATTGCCGCTACTCACGTTTTTTGACAACACATACCAGTCTTGCATGATGGGCTTGAAGGGAGAAATACTGCTTAAGAATGAACTAGCTCGAAGAGAGCAAGAAAAGTGTGGCAGGTTTCAAAACCTTATGAAAAAAGGTGGTGAATGAGGCAGTTTTTCCTAGAATCTCTTTACCATTCCCAGCATTTACAGCCACAGGTCAGTTTTTGGAAGGAGCAATCCAAGCATTGTCAAGATTCAGCTCTTGTAGCCTTGTACACTTCAACTGTTCGATTCTGAGAAGCTAATGAGCCTTGAGGTGGTTCCTGTTGTTTGCGTTTGAGAACAGAGAATTTCTCTTGTCCAACTGGAACGGGCAGAAATGCCTGCTGGAGTGCATTCATGTGTGATGCTGACAAACGAGGAGGTCCGGAGGAGGGAAGGGATACAGGCTGTGTCCTTGGGAGTTAAAACCACCCTGCCAGTGTGCAGAGGGAGGTTGTGTGTGTGTTTGTGATCCTGCGCTACACGTTGTGTTGCCTACTCAACTCAGTGACGCTGAGACGGAGTTGTTCTGCAGGCTTAGTGATGCTGCAGGGATATCTATCTGTGCCTCTCAGACATGCTGCTTCTGTGGAAGGGTGAGTGGACTATAAGATTCTGTTGGCTTAAAACTCAAGAGACAAGCCCGCTGAGGCTGGAGAGGGTTGTCTGTATGTGTGTAAATAAGTGTGGGTCACGATTCCTTCCAGCCCCAACTGCATAGTGGGTAGCAGGTGCCTGGTTGGAGCGGAGGCAAGAAGAGGCTCAGGTGGATGCTTCAGTCTTGCTGGGGCATGTTGCCTCCAATGCTCCTGGTCTTACTTGTTTTTCTCTCTTTTCAGAACCAGCAGAGCCACATGGAGGACAGACAGGGACATGGGCCTGATGAATGCCATAGGCCTGCAACCCCGAAACCCCCCCACCTCTGTGACTTCGCAGGGTACCCAGACCTTGGCACCTCAGCTGCAGAATCCCGAGACTCAGAAAGAGAGGGAGGGACAGAC